GGGCATATACCCAAAGGATACACATTCATACTACAAGAACATTTGCTCAACTATGTTCATAGCAACTTTATTCATAATAGCCAGAACCTGAAAACAACCTAGATGCCCCTCGCCCAAAGAATGGATAAAGAAAATGTGGTACATTTACACAATGGAGTATTACTCAGTGGTAAAAAACAATGACATCTTGAAATTTGTAGGTTAGTGGATGGAACTAGAAAAAAAAACATCCTGAGTGAAGTAATCCAGACTCAGAAAGACAAATACGATATATACGCATTCCTAAGTGGATATTAGACATAAGGAAAAGGATCAGCAGGTTATAATCCACAAGCCCTGAGAAACTAGGTAGCAAGGAGTACCCTAAGAGAGACATTGCATGGATGCCCCTGGGAAGGGGAAATGGATAAGATCTGAATAAATTGGGAGGGGGAGGGAAGGGGATGGTGAAAGGGAGCTGTAGGAGAACATGAGGGAACCTGAGGGAATGGGATGGTTGAGTTGGGGTAGGGACAGAGAGGGAGAGCAAGGAAAGAAATGTCTTGAAAGAGGGAGCCATTTTGGGTTTAGGGAGAAATCTGGTGCTAGGGAAACCCCCAGGAATTCACAAGGATGACCCCAGCTAAGACTCCTAGCAATAGTGGAGAGGGTGCCTGACCTGGCCTTCCCCTGTAATCAGATTGATGACCACCTTAATTGTCATCATAGAACCTTCATCCAGTACCCGATGAAAGCAGATGCAGAGATCCACAGCTAATCACTGGGCACAGCTCATGGAGTCCAGTTGAAGATGAGCAAAGGGGTCAAGATCATGATGGGGACACCCACAGAAATAGTTGACCTGGCTATTGGGAATTCATGGACTCTGGACTGGCACCTGGAAACCTGCATAGGACCAAACTAGGTCCTCTGAATGTAGTGACAGTTCTGTGGCTTGAGCAGTCTGGGGCCACTGGCCGTGGGACTAGGATTTATCTCTAGTGCATGAACTGGCTTTTCGGAGCCCATTCCCTCTGTAGAGACGCCTTGCTCAGCCTTGATACAGAGGGGAGGGCCTTGGTCCTGCCTCAAACTGTGGTGACAGACTTTGTTGATTCCCCATGGGAGTCCTCATCCTCAGGGAAAGGGGAGGGAAACCGGAGGAGGGGAGGGAGGTGGTACTGTGTGTGAAATTAAAAAATAAAAACCCAAAAACTTTGAAATAAAAAAAAATTAAAGCCAAACAAAACAAAAAATAGAAGAAAGACATATAAAAATCATTCTGCTGGGCAGTGGTGGCGCACGCCTTTAATCCGAGCACTTGGGAAGCAGAGGCAGGTGGATCTCTGAGATCTAGGCCAGCCTGGTCTACAGAGCAAGTTCCAGGACAGCTAGACCTGTTACACAGAGAAACCCTGTCTCGGAAAAAACAAAACAAAATGAAAAACAAACCATTCTATTTCCCCCATTTTCCTAGTTAGAAAGTCTCTTATCTAATTCTAGAGTCAATGTTCTTTTCTTCTTCCTAGACATCACAAAAGTAAATGAGTAATCACTGAAAACAGTAACCAAATTGGCTGGAATAACTGACCCCCCCTTTCTTTTTTCGAAATAGGTTGGGTTTTTTTTTTTTTTTTTTTTTTTTTTTTGTGTTGGAGAGTCGTGAGGTCTGGCTGTCCTGAAACTCAGTCTGTTTCAAACTCACAGAACTTTTATCTGCCTCTGTTTCCTGAATGCTGGGATTGAAGGCGTGCACCACCACCGCCTGGCCCTTATAGTGTTTTTTAAAATGCACATTTAATTATTACCTATACATACACACTGGTAACAGCCAATTTCAACTTTACTGGGTCTCCTAGTAGACATGACCTCTTTGGTAAGCAGGACCTCTAGACCTAAAAGAACTTAATGGAGCAGAAGTTCCCAAATGAATAACTAGGAATTATGTTTACTGGGGAGAGAGCCTCATAAGATGGTTTTTGGTCCAGAGTGTACTACTCCCTGGAGAAAAGTGTGTTGTCTCCATGTCAGTGTCTCATCTGAGTTTTGATGCAGTTATTCTTTTTCTTTCTTTGACGGGGGAGAGTGGTGGCTTGAGACAGGGTTTCTCTGTGTAACTGTCGCTGCCGTAGAACTCACTCTGTAGTCCAGGTTGGCCTCAAACTCAGAGATCTGCTTGCCTCTGCCCTAAGTGCTGGGTTTACAAGCATGCACCACCTGGCTTGATGTAGTCTTGTTTGTGTGTGTGTGTGTGTGTGTGTGTGTGTGTGTGTGTGTTTTGAGACAGGGTGTCTCTGTGTAACAACCCTGGCTGTCCTGGAACTCACTCTGTAGACCAGGCTGCCTCTGCCTCCCAAGTGCTGGATTTACAGGCATGTACTACCTGGTTTGATGTAGTTCTTTTTTTATTTTTTTTTGAGACAGGGTTTCTCTGTGTAGCCCTGACTGTCCTGGAACTCACTCTGTAGACCAGGTTGACCTTGAACTCACAGACATCCACCTGCCTCGGCCTCCTGAGTGCTGGGATTCAAGGTGTGCACTGCCCAGCCCAATTTGATGTAGTTATTCTGTTACACCAGCAGGTTGACTTTCAGATGGTGCAGTGTGTGGCAGGAATAGTGAATCCCATGTGCAAATCTACGGCCACAACTCCTTTTCATGAAAGCTTTGATATTAGGTAGGCATGTCATGACTCCATTTCATCAAATCAGACATTGTGTAAACTCTTTCAAAGATTTGCTATAATTTTTAAGAATTTTTTTTTGAGATGGGGGTCTTACTGGGTAGATTTGACTGACCTGGAACTCACAATGTAGACCAGGCTGGCCTTAAACTCAAGAGAGATTTGACCTGCCTCTGCCTCCAGAGTTCTGGCATTGAAGACATGTGCCACCATACCCAGGAATAATTATTTTTCAAGTATGTGTATATGTGTATGTCTGCATGTGGGTTTCTGCACATTTAAGTGCAGGTGCCCATGGAGTCCAGAGGAGTGTGTGGGATCTCCTGCTGCTGGATTCATTGGCAGTTCTAAACTGTATGACATAGGTGCTGGACTCGAATTCTGGTCCTCTGCAAGGGCATTATGTTCTCTTAACTGCATCTCCCTAGTCCCCATTTTGTAAGTTTTGTAAGAATCATAGTACTTGCTAAAGTACTGAAGAAAAGGCAAACTCATACCAATATGTAGTAATTCTTATCAGCTCAGCTTTGCCTTCTGAGACAGAAGGACTCCAGAGTGATCACCTTGTCCCCAAGGGGTGGTTGGTTTGCCAAGGGGTTCAGACATAGCTTTTGATGCTTATAGGTTGGAAATCTGGCAGTATCAATATCTGAGTCAGCCTCTGTTAAAGGAGTACCTAGAGGGTTGGAGAACTGACTCGGCAACTAGGAGCTCTTACTGTTCTTCCAGAGGACCTGGGTTCTTTTTCCTGCACCCATGTTGGGTGGTTCATATCTACCTTAGCTCCAGTTCTACATGATCTAACATCTCTTCTGGTGCTTCCACTGACACCAGTACACATGTGATATACAAGTGGATACAAACAAATACACATAAGTAAAAATAATAAAAAAGGTGGCTCAGAGGCTTCAAGCACTTGTTGCACTTGAAGAAGACTCAGGCTGGTTCCCAAAACCCTCAGAGTGGCTATGTGTAACTATGTGTAACTCCAGTGCCAGGAGATCTGATGTCTTCTTCTGACCTCTAAGGGCATCATCCATACATGTGATGCACATACACACATGTGAAAAACACCCAATCACCTACAGTAAACAATTTTTTTTTAAAAGGAGCACCTAATGTTGACTTGTGCTATCTTCACCTTGCTTCCATGCTCCCTGTACTCCTGAGACCACTGCCTGCTTTCCACAGATGTGAAGGATGGGAGCTCGCTCATGCCAGCTCATGGCAGCGGGATGAGCTTCAGTGCTGCTTGTTTAGAGCCTCGGAGGTGGATGCTGTCTAGTCAGCGAGCAATACACACATATTCATCTATCCAGCACTTGGGAGACAGAGGCAGGCAGATCTCTGTGAGTTGGAGGCCAGTGTGGTCTATATAGTGAGGCCCCCATAAGCCCATCCACAAGCCTCAGATTAATCCATCCTCTAACTTCTAGATAATCACTTTCAGGCTCCTGACCAATTAGTTAAGCCATTTACTACAGCCCCTGAGTCCAAACCACATTCCTTTCTACACCGTGGGAATGGCCAAGTTCACTACTTAAAGCTTTCCTACTGGGATAGTATCTCCTCACCATCATCTTGTCCAGTGAAACTGCTGAAAAACGAGGCCACGGTAGTCCTTGACCTGCTTCAACTTACACCAACCCACCCAGACAAGCTCCCTTTTCTTCCTTTGTGTGTGTCAAGTAACTCTGGAGCTGGCTGAACCCACTTCAGGGCTCAGTAACATGTAGAAGTCATTTAAGCTTTCCCTTTTCCTGTTTTGTGTATGTGTGTATGACTGTGATGTCTGTATGTGGATTGTGTGCTTGTTTGTGAGGAAGTGTGAAAAGGCCAGGTGTTTTCGCTATCACTCTATTATTCCCTTGAAGTAGGGGCTCTCACTGAACCTCGAGCTAGTCTGGTAGCCAGTAAGTCCCAGTAATCACCCTGTGCCTGCTATCAATCGTGGGGCTACAGGGGTGCATGGTAATGCCCTACTTTTAACATGAGTACTGAGGATTCAAACTCAGTTCCTCATGCTTGAGCAAGAAGCACCCTTATCTATTGAGCTGTCTCCCCAGACTCCTACTTAAGCTTCTTGAATTTCTGAGTTTGAGTCTTCAAGTATTTCTGCCCTTCCAGCCCTTCCCTCCATTTTCCGGGACTCCAGTGGCACTTATATTAGGCCTATGACGTTGTCCTATGGCTCTCTGGTTGCTGCTCAATCTTTCCAGTTTCTTCTCGCTGAGCATGTTCCCCAGTTTCTTCAAGTTCAGAAATCGCTTCTTTTGCTGTCTAATCGGCTCCTAATCCCATTCAGCGTTTTGTCATCTCAGACATGCACTCACCTTTACAAGTTTGATGAATGTTTTATTTTTAAATCTACACGTATCAGCACAGCATGTTTCAACCATCCACCCCCTCTCCTTCAGCAAACCTTCACTGACATCTTTGTTGTTGTTGTTTTGTTTCTCTAGACAGGATTTCTCTGTGTACCTTTGGAGCCTGTCCTGGAACTCGTTCTGTAGACCAGGTTGGCTTCGAACTCACAGAGATCAGTCTGCTTCTGCCTCCTAAGTGCTGGGATTAAAGGCGTGCACCGCCACCGTCCAGCTTCACTGACATCACTTATGGGTCAGACTTTTTTTCTGGGTGCTGAGGGCACTGAAGTGATGGAAGAGAATTGAAGCTTTGTCAGGGAAGTCATCTGAAAACGGTCAACATGTGGGGGAAATGTTCCTAGAACAGAGGCTACTGACTGGAATCCACCGATAACCTCCCGGGCCCTTCTGGCGTCGAAACCAGAGCTCCTTCTGTGAGGAGAGTCCTGGGTACCACACAATTTAGTCACTCGCTCAAGGCTTCAACCTTCTGTGGTGTGAGGGAACAAGAGGCTGTGCCCTTGTTTCCTTCGAATCTTTAGGATTCTGACGAGACAACAGGAGAGACTGCTGGTCTGATCCCCTAGGCTGGTTTCCAGGCCACTGTCGGTGGGCTGGTTCTGCCAAGGCCTCGCCTAGCCTCCTTTCCCGCCTCCGAAGAGACTTTGGTGTTTGTTAATCCACTCTCCCCCAGCGGGCCTTTCCTGTCAGTCAGGGAAGCCTTATCAGAGCCCACAGACTGCGCCGTCCTGACTCCACCCTGATTGACAGCTCAATCAATTCAAACGGCCCAAGGACCCTCCCGCCCACCGCGCACGCAGACCAGGTCCAAGTGCAGTGGGAGAGCACGAAGGCGTGGTCTGACGGTCTCCTTGGGAGAACCGCGGCCACGCTGAGCTGGTGCAGCAGGACACTGGCCCTTGCCTGCGGCTGTCCAGGCCACCGCTAACCCCGCCGTGCGGCGACCTTCAACCTAAAGCGAGGGAGCCCAACCCTCTCTCCTCCTCCCAGGACTCGCCCTTCCCCGGCCCAACCCCTTGCTCAAGACTGACCAATGAGAGAGAGCAGTGCTGGACGGCGGCGGGGCGTTCAGACCAATGGAACTGCGCGTTGTTCGACTGCAGCGCCGCAGGCCGCACCCAGCTAGGCGGCGGGGGCGAGCCGAAGGCTGAGGGCCGAGGGCGGGAGAGGCTGAAGGC